TCCACTTCCGATGCTCCTGGCGATCCTATGTCATGTGCCGTTGCCATCCTTGTTGTCGAGAGTCCCCCGCACTATGTTTAGCTGGGATCAAGCCCTCTTCCTTTGCGCTTATTGTTTGAGTGTTTGTTTATTGGGCTGCTACCCAGTGTTGCTCCTGTTGTAGTTGTTGGAGCTCACCTGGATGCTTCCAGGATCGCTGCTCCGCTATCATGTGAAAATCAAGGCAGTTGATGTTGACACTCTGTTGCAGCTGTTGCTGTACGCGCGTTTTGTACTGTTGGCACACAAAGGCTCAAGGCCTTGTTGATCCAAGATGTCGCACATATGTACACTGGCACAACTGATGTAAGCAGTATATATATATATGTATATATATATATGTATATATGTATATATATATAAATATATATATATATATATATGTATATTTTATGTCATGATTATGCATCAATAGTTTGATATAGGATTGACGGGCATAAAGGGAACTTTGGACATTTGGACACACTCCAATTCAAGGAATTGGGAGCGTCGAAGGGATCTTGTGAAGCTGCGAGTACTCTACAAGTGCCAGCGCATGTCACGTTGCAGTGATGCGGATTTTGCACTTCTGATGCAGTTCATCATGGAGCTTCCAGTCGCAGTCACTTCACTGAAATATCTGAAATCCGATATCGGGCTTTGAGGAAGCCATTGGCCAGTTCCAGGATTGACATAGATCAGATGCAGAAGAGACTGACGATGACGACGATGACGACGATGACGACGATGATGACGATGAGGATGCGGATGAGGGTGATGGTGATGGTGATGATGATGATGATGATGATGATGATGATGGCGATGGTTGCGATGAAATGATCAAATCCTGTTGCAATTTTCTGGCTGCACACGCTTGCTTTCATGCAAATCTTCCTTAATCCAAAGTAGTCTTGCAGTGTCCTCTTGACCCAGGTCTTCCAGTCTCTAGCGAAATTCGTTTGAAGGAGGTAGAATGTGATGCTGGGACGGGACACATTGCGACATGCAGGCGTTTCACTCTGATTGTCTCGCCATGATCAACAACTGATCAAACTTTGGTTGCAAAGGCTGACCAAAGAGCGATGCATTGAACAAATAAAAATCTGCGTGCCGCATGACTTTCAATGAACAACTTTTGCAAAACTTGTTTTGAACTTCACCATTGCATCTCCACACAATTCTCTGTGTTACTGTATACATTACATACAGATACACACATACACACACACACACTGATGAGACATTTTCTATGTCAGATAAGACACAGTCTGCCAGAATTCTTCATCATTGGCCATTCCTGTCAAAGAAGGTCGCAAAACAAAGGGGTTCTGAAAACCAGGCCAAACATTTGTATATATGATTTGCCACGGCATGCAAACTCAAAGTTCAACATCTTTTGCACAGAGTTTATCAAGCGATTCAAAACAGTTGGAACATGTTGAAACATTCCGGAAACTAACTTTGTTGCCAACATGAACAGAACTGAGGCTCATTCTTCCATACCCTTGAGGCCGGCGCTGTTCCAAGAGTTTGTTTTTGAAATTAAGACGATGAACAGAGCGTTTACGGCTTAGGGTGTTTACCAGGGTGTTTACCTTGACCTGACAGAACCAAAGTGACTTGGATTGTCTTGGATTCCATTCCGATGTGGACAATATTGGACACTAATTGATGCCGCTCGCCGACTTGCCCAGAAAAATGGTGTATCGGAGGATGTCCAACTGCATACAAAAATAGACTTGTCAAGGGGATCTGATTTTGCTTGTGCAGCACTCAAAAGCGGACTTCAGATGTTGATTGTGACTATTGCGGATTCCGAAACAGGTACTGGTGATGCGTAAGATAGATTGCATCCGATGATTCAATTAGGCTTCAGAGATCTTATTTGTTCTTCATAGCGCTTTCAAAGCAAATTTGGTTCCTCCCCAAAATTCTGATTCTTGGAGACCTGCTTTGGGTGGCAGGCAATCTTCACACCCGCGGACGAAGGAGTGTACTCTGATGTATTTTCAAACGTGTCACCATGTTCTCCTTATGGACGCTCTTATTGTACTGTCGACGTTTCTGACCATGCTGGCATCCTCACAGCACCGCCACAGCACCCAGCGTTGCAGCATCGCACTTTTTCCTATTTCGCTGATCCATTTTTTGGATCACAGCATGCTGTACTGGAGGAGGACACAGTCTACGTGACTGCCACATCTTGCATGGATGCTGCAGTGAAGGCGCTCCATAAACGAGAAAGTGGAGGGCTAGGGATTTCGGAGGATCACTGACACACATAAGTTCCAAACTGTTACAAACTGTTGTCCCTTTGAACAGGGTGTCTAGGAAGTGTTGCTCCCTTGACTGTTCAACGAGTCTACAATTCTGCAGCGCTTCCACTCTGTCATTTGCTGCAAGTCAAAGAGGATAAATACCTGTGTTGAACTGTGTTGGCCCAGCAGTCTGAGTTGTTTCTTCTTCTATCGGGTATTGCAGTTTCTCCGATCCTGTTCATCAAAGCCATGATGCCCTGTCAAGAAACCCACATGTGGAAGAGGCCTGAATGGCAGGATTAAGTACTCTGAGCCAGATGGCAAAGACGGACCAGGTTCACCTCAAATGGCTTTCGAATGGTGGACCATTCAGACTAGAGGCTTTTTGAGAATCTTTTTGAGGATTCATATTCCAGTCATTCTAGTGACACGAAACTCTCCAACTCATTGTACGTAACTTATTCTAAGTCTCTAGCATAGCGGGTCCCAATGATTTCCTGCCTAACCCCGTTTTTCAAACCCCAAAAAGCTTTGTTTCCAAACCTTGTATTGCTGTATAGTCTAACCACAAAGTAGTTCTGGCAGCCAAGTAATATAAGAACATATATATATATATACAGCATATATATATATATACATATATATATAATAATCCTTAGAACACGTACACACATTATTATTATTAATTATTATCATTATTAATTATTATTGATATTATTAAATGTATATCAAACTATGTATATATATATATTTCATGCGCGATATCAAGCTATTTCATGTGGAGCGCAACGGGAACATGGAATTCATAAAACGCATTCTGGACACCCTTGCCTAAACAAGGTCATGACACAAGCTGAAACATTTTGGATGTTGACATGTCAAATGTTCTGCAAATGTTTGTATCACGCTTGCCCCCAAATGATGCAAAATGTATCAAAACCCATGATTCTCACCGTTTTTCCAAGGTTCAAACCAGCAAAATGATATGGACCAGTTTTTGAAGTTTCTGGCAGGAAGCCAGGTGGAATTCATTAACAAATCGTAACATATTCATAACATTATTCATAAACATTGCGTAAACAAATATGTTTTTTTCAAGCGTTCTTTTTAATTTTCATTGGGATTCTGGGATTTTGGCAGGTTCTCAGCCAATGGTTGTCACCATTTTCCCAAGGTTCCAAACAGCAAGATGACATCAAAAAAATGGTGGTCAATTTAAAAAACATAAACACATCATCAAAACAACAAAAACATTTCATGAATAAATTGTAAAGACACCATAAAAAGTAATAATCTTTGATTTTGGGCCTCTGGCTAGTTTTGAACGTCTTAAGATTAGGTCGGAAGGATGCCAAGAAGAGCGCTTGTTTTAAATGATGGTGCCCTAGGCTAACTCCTACTAGGAGGGCGCGATGTGGCACAGCCCGGTGCACGTGCAACACACGGTGTACATGTAATGGGAAATGGTTGCTTATTGAATCAAAAAAACACGACAGTCGTGTGTGAGTCCATATCCGCGGTTGGAAACACCATGTTGACCTTTGTGGTTAGACACGCAGAAGTGCGTGATTAGAATGTTGTGAGTTAGGGTTAAGAATCTTATATTTCTTCATAAGACGCGTGTTTCTTTGAACAGCTTTGATGCCTACTCCAGCTGTATGTGCCAGGATCGAAGCTGGAAGTGAGGCCCAGCCATTTTCATTCGGTTACTCAGCTGAGACGTCAATCGACCCCATGGAGAGACTCTGGAGGAACACGGCGGCACAAAGCGGCGCAAAGCCTGGGTGATAATTTTGGAATCAAGTTACGTAATCTTTTTACTCAGTAAGCTCCACTTGTTTGTACAATCGTTTTGTTTATGAAGATGTCTGAAACCAAGTTACACGGCCCTACACGGCCCCGGCGAAGCCACGTCCAAAGGTGAGGTGGTAGCAAAGGTCCGCAGACTGTCCAAAGGTGAAGAGCTGATCACAGACGTTTCATGACGTTTCATGACGTTTCAGGTCAGGAAAGGAAAGACAGTCATGTCATGTTCATGTATGTATGTAACTGTAAATGTATGTATATAATGTATATGTATAGTAACTATGTATACTATATTATGCATAGTCACATCATTTCACTTCACATTGGGTGGAATTCTGCAGGGAGCTCGTATCAGCTGATGTGTCACTCTTGCACTGTGTGACACCAAAGCCAGTGCGATGCAAATGTTCCTCATGTCATCCATTGAAGAAAAGGGACGCCTGCTTCAGCCTGCTCCAGTGCTCCAGCCTACTTCATGAAATTGTGGAAGGAGAAGACTTCCCGGGCTTTTGTGTTGACAAAGAGTTAGTTGATGTTAGTTGCCTTTGGAGCTATGCAGATGAAAGATTCAGGATAATCAGGATAGCTCATCAGATCCCTGTGAGCTCTGTTTGGAATCCATACGTACAGAGAACGCAGAAGGCGGCCACTTTTTGGATTTGCACAAAGGCATTGCCCTCCAATTGTGAGCCACTTGCGGCTATTGAAGCAGGAAGGAAGTGCTGAAACATTTGAAACCATCGTGAAATGACTTCCTCTGTAGATATTCCGATGCTTGCCCAGAAAATTATGTCTTAGCTCTTGGAGCCCTTTTTGGCTGACAAAGATAAAGGAAACGTGATTAAATGTTTGATTCGGCGGGGAGGAGCTCAGTTTGGAACTCATGTTCTTTCAGCTCTTGCCACGATTTTGCTCTGCAGCATTCAGCTCTTCAGCCTGTATTCCTTCGTCACGCGCTCCTTTGTCCTGCAACATGGCAGCCCCAAGTCTCTTGCCTATTTGAAGACTAAATATGGCTGACAACCAGACGACAACGTATTTCTACACTAGTAATTTCAGCCCGCCAAACAAATCAAACAGTTCATTGACGTCAAGTCGGCATGCAGATGGTATCATGACTAACCGGACTCACTGCCCGGCCAAAGAGGCCTCACGAGACGGTCTCCAAATACTTCCAGCACCAATTGTTTCACAGATTGTTGGGGACAATGGAAACCTCTCTACTTTGGCTAGTCCTATGATGTTTGTCATCATCAATCATGTAGGTCTTTTTCCTGAGGTATTTCACCCCTGCATTCGTGTGACTCGTATCAAGTACATTTTGACATTTTAGTCGGGGCCAGTTGAATCCAGTTGCTCAGGTCTTGAGAAGCGTCTCTCCGCTGCGGCAGTGTTTTGGATGCAGGGGATTTTTCTGGCGGAAGGATAAAACTGGTCACGGTACCACAGTACCACGGTCGACCACGGTACCACGTCAAGCAGGAACGAATTTGGTTTGCAGAAGGCGTAGTTTATGCTTGCTTCTCAATTGGAGTGCTGTAGTATAGTATGCAGTATGCAATAATGTGGTGCTATTTATCACAGCAACTCAACAAACTGGACTCAAGCATGACGATGCCACGGGATAGTGGTAGCAAGAGCGTCAGTTGAGTCGACGACGCCCGGGGTGGTTTATATATATATATATATACTGAGTCTCATATATTCTGTCGTGTTTTGTTGCATTTGGACAGTTTACTGATCCGCATGGACTTTGAAGCAAGGGTGATTCTTTTGCTTCTACAATTTCCTCAAGAGCTCTGTAGGATGCCGGTTGACGATGGAGCAACCTCCAAAGAAAACAGCTGCCTGCTTGTGCTTGGCACGGGAACAGAATGAAGTCCTTGAACTTAAGTGGCATTTGCAGCTTACCAATTTCGCCCTGGTTTTCTTTCGGGAAGTAATCTTTTTCCCGTTGATTTCAAAATATTTACGCAGAAGCGACAATAGCAATCACGTGAAGTTGTTGCCCAAGGATGACTCTATCAATCAGTGGCCTCGCTGCATTTGGAGGGGCAACTGTCCAGAGGTTATAATCGCACTTTTTACATTTTTTTGGACAAGTACAGTTACAAGAGCCTCATATTTCAATATATTCATATATACTAGATGTCGAGAGCTGAATTCGTATAAGCTCAAATCGAGAAGCAGTTCCTGTGGGGACACGCAGTCATTGATGATCTTGACTGTCGATTCGTTAGTTTTTTTGAATGTATCTTGGTGTTTCTGAGAAAGCGCTTATTTTGTTGTGGTATTGGTGTGTGTTTGGGAGTGGTAGTGATCATGCGGCGATTCCGTGTTTGAAGGCTCCGAACCTGTACCAGCTATGAACTTCTAAAGACGCGACCATTGGGTCTTTTTTGTGAGTCAAACACTTGTTTTCAAAAAAACATAAGTTCAATTATGCGACTAAGACAGTATCTGTGAATGTAATGCCGCAATGCATTGGAGATTCCAATGTGCTTGACAATTGTTTGCGACTGACACTGGTCCTTTCAAAGGCAAAATCAATTACAGAAACATGTTGCATTTGCACAAGAACAAACAAACACGTTGTACAATGTTTTAGAATCATGTAGAATCATTATTACTGTTTGCAATTATTTGGACTTCTCCACCACTTTGACCTCGACCCCTATTCAGGCTAGGAGGGAGCTTCAGAGGCAGCTCCATGCGAGTGGAGAAGTCGAAGCCAGCACCAGGAGGTGGGACCTGTGGAATTTTTAGGGGCTCCGCTTTCGTGTGATACTCCCAGGTAAATGCGATACCATGCGAACATGCACACATTTTATCGCAATTTCATGACGTATTGTAGAAATTAACTAGTTCTTCCTGTCTCGACTCAGAACCTGCTCAAATTGAGAATTCTTTTAACACAGATCAATGTTGCTTGTGCTCTAGAAACTCTGCCACATGATTAATCAGTTCAACAGCCTCAAGACACTTCAATTGCCAACCCCCATGTGTGAAGCACCATTCCAAGAATCAAAAGCCAGCCATGGCTTAGTCTCAATGAACTTCTACGCCTGAATTTTGCAGGACTTGTGACTTGTAACCACTGAAACATTCACTGCTTGCAATGTTGCAATACACTGACTCACCGATGGACCCCCCTTACATCTGATATAATTTCTTTTCCCTGATTGTTCTTCAAATTCTGCATTTCGATGCACGATGCACAGGATGGTGCCAGGGGATCTGTGGAGGCGTTCCACCAAAAGAGCGAGAGGTGGATGTGATTCTCATTGGTGCAGGAGTTATGAGTGCAACAGCTCCTCTACGGCATCACTGATAATCATATTGCCCAGCTTGAACAAGCTGCCAGTAACTGCGTGTCACTACTTGAACATGTGTCAACACCGCGAGAACACGCCTTTCTTTCGGTCATGATCTTTTTTTTTGCCTGAAACTTTGTCTATGCTGCAAGCTTACTATATACTACTGTAAATTACAAGGAGTTAACAGGGAGGGTTCATTTTTTTTACGTGTATCTGGTGGCAGGCCAAGTGCATGTAAGCTTATTTAGGATGCTTTAGGTGTGATGCATGGACGTTCACTGTACAAATACAATACATACAGTTACATACAGTTACATACATGATAAGCCTAGATAAACATAGATAAACATAGACACACATACATAAACATAGATACACATAGATCAACAGAATGAACACTGGAAAACTGTATGTATACTTTAAGCATACTTGGCCCGTCCAGATCCTTGAGCCGATTTGCTGCGATTTCTCTCTAAGGTTGGGCTCATGTTGAAGGACTGGACAAGCAGCCCGTAGAGACGAGTAGTGACGGGTAGCGACGAGTAGCGACTTGTGGTTTTACCGCCAAATTCTAATGTGCAGGTCAGAGACCTGGCGTAAACGGTTCGTTGCTTCAAAAAACTATAGACTTGATCATACTTGATCATACTTGATCCCCGTATTCAAAGAACTGAATGGGATGTTGGATTGTGTGGTGAATGAATAGAAGTGTGACCATAGATGGACTGAAATATGGAATGCAGCAAGTGCAAACAAGATCTCTTTTCATCTTGCCATATCTTGCCTCCATTTTTCAGGCTTTAGTTCCCTGCGCTGGGCTGTCCGCTGTCGGCTGTCGGGCAAGGAGCTGGAGCCCAACTGGAAGATGATGATGTTTGAGCGCTTAGGCGCTCCGGGCGAAGAGAGCTCCAATGGCTTCAACAATGCCGGTACCATGGCGTGCCAGACAGGAAATGATGAGCCTATCAAAATCTATCAAACATATTTATTTAATTCACTTTAAGCCATATTAACTCACTTTTAAGCCATATTAAGCACCTATCATGGAAATGAGATGGATTGCTGTAAATGATGAAGACTGACGAACAGCGTATTTACATCTAGTATTTGATGTATGCATGATAAGCAGATATTTGTGCAATGCAGCAACATGTACTGCCTATTTGTTCTTCACAGACAGATCAAACACATAGTCTCATAGTAGTATGTTGGAAGTAACATTGTTGGATTTGATAACGGATGAAAGATCCAAACAAGCATTTGTGATCCTTTGTGCATTGAGTTAATCATCTGACTGGAAACTCAGACCCACAACGACCCCACCGGATGATATGCCTGTACAATTTTTGGGCTGGTGGAAATATACTGACTGGGTGTGCACCCAAGCACTAGAAGCAGATTTTATTGCTCACCACGTGCTCCAGGACAATGTGAGGACAAATATACGACGTACATATCTATATTATGTACAAGATCTGCATATGTACATACATACGGACGCATGCAAGCATGCACGCATGCATGCCATTACATTGCATTATGTTTAATTGGACTGCACTGCATCGCATTACATTGCAGCGCAATGCAATGCAATACATCTCACACACATAGACATACGTACGTACGTAAATATACATAGTTGCCTATCTACCTACGCACGTACATACATAATCATACATACATAAATGACATACTCGTACAATCTCGTACACTAATACATGAAAATCCCCTCCTGGACGCCTCAAACAATCCCTGGATCTCAGGCACCGGGCATGCGGGCTTCATGGAGTCCCAATCTCAGCTGCAGATTCCTCCTGGAGGGAAGGAAGGGCATGGAAGGGCTGCGCACAGTTTCCTCAGATTAAAAATTTGAGAGAAACAACATCAACTTGCACCGGCACAGCTGTCCCACCTGGGACAGCTGGACTTTTGGGCTCGCACTCCGAAGCTCAGAAGGTAAGGCAGGCTCCATTTGGAGAGACAGTTTTTTGGCTTTCCGATCCAGTTTTTTGGCCTTTCCGATCCACTTTCCAAGGCCAAATTACACAAAGGAGGTGAAGAACTCTGATGGCAGCTTGAAGACAGTCACCACAGACAAGGTTGAGCACCTTAGCTGCCTTAGCATCTGTTGTCTAGCCTCTTGGCCCAGAACTGCACCCAGATCAAACCTGCAGAGGCTTGATAGATGGCCGGAATCATCAGGTTCCGAATTTGCTTTCTATTTGATGGTTGGCTTCTAATTGGAAGTCCAACAATCAGCTGTGATGTATAGCGAACCCCCCTAAATACTACTTTGTGTATACCCACTGTTGTTGCAGAACAGGCCTCCTCTTGATGGATTTGCAAGAAGGATCGAGAAAGAACTTGGCATGCTGTGTTGCTCTCGCAATAGCTTTCCGCAGTTCCAAATGATCCCATCCGGTAGCATTCCTTTTTGTTTTGGTCACAGAGATAATTTCACTGTAGGCACTGCATGATGCAGTTCATACCCAGCCACAGTTTCATTTGTGTGGTGTCAAAGGTTTGTTCTTCGCGACGCTTCGCAAGGAATTAAGCCTACAGCGTTGACAACTCACAAGAGCTGATTTTTACCCCATAAAGGCTAGCCATTCCACATTGCACTTCGATAGTGCGCCTACTAATCGGGGTACTCTTCTAGGCACGTCTGCGAGCAGTTCCTGTCAAGCCGGCAATATTGGGACTATTTGACCAAGACGGGAAAGCTACCAAAACCAGACGCTTGGCCCGGTCATAGCCTAGGCCTTGTCATCCCTAGCCCTTTCGAAAAAGAAACCGTTTGTTTGCATTGGACAGTTGGCAATCACGGCGTCACTGAGTTGTGTTGCTTTCTGTTGCCTTTTGTTCATGCATGTACATGATATGCTGAAACAGTCGATGTACTTCTGGCTGCGCTGTCTGCTCCCTCCAAGAGACAAAGCATGTTCTGAACCTCGTGATTCAAGCAATCTATCACTGAGTTGCTGTGTATATAGACGGTGTAGACAATGACCTGATATGACCTGATCATGCCTGATCATGAGTCATGGATTGCCTTTGATCGCATAAGACTGCATTCGAGACATTGGGACATCGATGGTTGAAGTGCACCAGCAAGGGATGGTGTGCAGCGGCTGAGGACACATGGATCCATCAGACCAACCACATCGCTCTAGGTGTTGGGAAGGCGGACATTAGCATTGCAGAACATTGCGTAACATTGCCCGATTCCCACTTTTATGACCTAGGTTACAAACAGGTCCGCCAAACATGCTCTAACTCTTTGCCTATGAGTTTCTCAAAGGTTTACCACCTTGGCCTTGGAAACCAGGGTTCAGGATGGTTCAGGATGGTTCAGGATGGTTTAGGATGGTTCAGGATGGTTCAGGATGGTTCAGGATGGTTCAGGATGGTTCAGGATGGTTTAGGTATGTTGGAACTATTCTCCCACCGACGTGAGGACCAAGTCGAGTTCATCAAGAAGCGCTATGAAGCCATGAAGGCGACATCCGAAAGGACACACAGAGCATCTCTGGTGGTTTGCACTAGTTTGCACTTGCCCTTTCACATCACAGCCTGCAATCGCACTAGGAGCTTTTGATGTAGTTTGACGAGAAGCTATGTACCCGTAACATCCCGTAACTATACGCAACTGGTTTCGGATTGACATAGCAAAAGTATGCAAAAGTCACAACAGTATTTGACAGTAACTTCGTTGGATTTGGACAAAGTCTTCTCTGGCTACACGGAACAAGTCGGCAAGTCGGCGAAACACGACTGTGCGTTTGAAACACCATAGACCAGGTTCAAGCGACCGGACTACTGATTGATTATCAAATAGGAAGTTTCGTAGAGAAACTCCGAGTTACGGACTTTCACATTCTCACTAGCCCAAAGATCATTGTGTCCAGCTGGCACCTGCATTAAGAGATCATTAACTCACATTCTCGCCGGCCCAAAGATCATGGTGTCCAGTTGGCACCTGCGTGAAGTAGAGAAGAGGTAGAGTAGAGGTAGAGCTGAGGTAGAGTGAAGGTAGAGTAGAGAAGAGGAGAGTAGAGGTAGAGTCAAGTAGAGGTAGAGTAGAGGTAGAGTAGATGGAGGTAGAGTAGAGCAGCGTAGAGCAGAGAAGAGTGGAGTAGAGAAGAGGAGTAGGGGCAGGAGTAGACTTAGAGGCAGAGGTAGAGTAGAAGTAGGGTAGGGGTAGAGGTAGAGCAAAGTAAAGACGAGAAGAGTAGAGCAGAGAAGTTGCGATTCTGATTGTGTTTTGCATGTCATTGTTGGCAGATCGCATTGGAGCTGCTACATCAAGGATGCGATTTGAATGTTAGGATTTGCGCGAAACATTGTGTATTTTCGGGTCAACGGAGGTTCCCTGCGGAGAAAAGTTGGCTTGCGTGCGCGACGGTTGCGGGCGTCGCCGCTTTGCCGTCCATTCCTGTTCGATCTGCGCGCGCAGTGGAACTGAGTGTTCCAGGTCACTTTTTCTTTTCTTTGTTGACGCTGTGCTTTTGTTGTTTGCAATTGAGTCTGTGCAGATCGCAGTGGAATGGCTGCGCCAAGGCTGCTTGAAGGATAGTTATTCTTCAGTAGCGTCTTGCAAGTCTGATTGTGTTTTGCATGTCATTGTTGGCAGATCGCATTGGAGCTGCTACATCAAGGATGCGATTTGAATGTTAGGATTTGCGCGAAACATTGTGTATTTTCGGGTCAACGGAGGTTCCCTGCGGAGAAAAGTTGGCTTGCGTGCGCGACGGTTGCGGGCGTCGCCGCTTTGCCGTCGATTCCTGTTTGATCTGCGCGCGCAGTGGAACTGAGGGTTCCAGGTGACTATTTTGCTGCTCTTCCTTGCTGACCTGTGCTTCTGTGTTTTGCAGTCTTGGCAGACTCTGCAGATCGCATTGGAATGGCTGCGTCAAGGTTCCTCGCTACTGCGGCTGCGCGCGGAATACTATTGTGTTTTGCAGCTGAGAATCGTAAATCGTATTGTAGCGGTTGCATCAAGGTTGCGAATGGTGCTTTGGCAGCAATTTTTTTCCATTTTGGCGCTGATGGTTTTCCTTTTACCGAAGGTAAAATTTCCTTGACCCTAAAATCCTTTAACCCTAAAATGTTTTAACCCTAAATCCTTCAACCCTAAAATGCTCTAACCCTAAATTGTTTAATCCTAAAATCCTTTAACCCTATTTTTTTAACCCTAAAATACTTCAACCCTAGAAATAAGACGAACAACACTTGAACGAGTCAAACGGATCGAGCGAATGGAACGGCAATTGAACAAGTTTGCAATTGTGTGACTTCAACCAGGCTGAGAAAAATTGGACGAGTGGAACTGAGGTGAGACGAGTCAACACGAGCTGAGAAGAGGGGAAAGAGATGAAAAGAGAGTTGAGGAGAGTCAAGAAGCTGGACAGAGATGAGGGTTGTTGAGATAAGTTGACAAGAAGCGAGAAGTCGTGAGAAGAGTTGAGAAACTGTGAGAGTCCGCTGCATCTCCTGTAGGCAAACTATGTCTTTGGATCCTGTAGTGTCACAGTCCTTAACCCTGGAAACTTCCGCCACCTGCCTTGCGCGGGATTTACTTGCATACCGCTAGAATGTCTAGAGACACAACTCATCACAACTCGCCACTTATTAGTCATTTTGGGAGAGCAGATTTCCACATACTTTCCAGATCAAAGGCTTACAGATGACTACAGCGTGCAGGCTAGCGACAGTTTCATGATGTCATGATGCCATGCCAGTCTCATCCTCTCTTCTCCTCCATGGAGATTTGTTTGCCAGAGGACGGGCCGACTTTGGGAAACTGAGAGCACTAGACAGCAGTTGACCGAACGGAATTTCATCACAATTCAACCCTAATTCGCGTTGCGAAGCTGGGTACTGACTAGGTGCTTTGGACATTTTTTGATGTAACTTCATGTCACCCAAAAGTCTTTGCACCTGCTATGTCACTGCTCTAATCCCACAGCACAAATTACGAAGTACAGACGTACCGAAGGCATCCGAAGGCATCCGAAGGCCCAAGGTGTGTGACGTCGTTGTGATGGCTGTCCCTCCCTGTATCATTTGTATCTGCCTGTCATCTGTCCTTGGTGGCCTCACCAGGAAAAGGAGAAGGCTAAGCAGTGGGCACCGCTGATTGTGAAAGGCCAGGAGTACCTGATACACGATGATATAGTGATACAAGGTGATATGCATTGATATACAAGTGTAAATAAACAGTTTAAAAAAGACCAACTATCAAAACTCAGATTTGCATTGCAATTTTGATCTAGTGTACAAGAATTCCACCACAGTACAATGAAGCCTGTTTCTTAAGTCTGTTTATCGAGATTGAATCGAATCTGTTATACAGTCATACACTGTTGTATAATGTTATACAATGTTATACAGTGTTTCACACTGTTATACATTTTTATATTGGATGTTTCAGGAGTGTGGTTTGGAACTGCACTTGTCTTGGCATTTCTTGGCCACGTGCTCGGTATCCAGGCCGAGATCCCACCGAGCCCATTTGCATGACCAAAGTCTCTCATGGCGCCTCAGCGAAAAGAGATTCTTCGAACCCGACACATCCATACACATCCATACACATCCCACATTCTTCGACCCCAGAAACATCCCAGACTCTCAAGATCTGGTCACTAGATGTCACTAGTCATTCATCCAGACAATTCCAGCTCAAACACTTGGAAATGCTGCAAATCATTATAATTCCCCAGTATCTGCCGCAACTTGTCTTGCTGTTGGCTTTCGAAAATGAAATGCATAGTCTTTGTCTTTGTCCTAGCACGATTTGGATTTGGAGTCGAACTTCAAACTGGGCAGAGCTTTCAGCTTCTTTACCAGTGCCTGTATTGTTCAGGAACCGATGTGGATTATGGTGCGTTGACGAAAGCAAAGATCACAGCCTTTCAGGAATTGGGAGGCACCACCATGCATTGGAACAACACTTTGTTTGTTGGTGTTTTTGTCACGGCCATGCTGCTTGCAAGACTGCTCTGGGTTCTGTTGCTTAGCCTTCCGAACTCAATGTTGAATCCGGTCCGTTACAGAATCCCTTCTTAAGTACTCTCAAGACTCAAGAGACATGTTCGCATACTAGAAGCGGAGCAAGCGCTTGGGGGGTCACTTGATGTCATTCCTGTAGACGCACTGATACAATTCTTCGCCAGGTGACCTGCGCCTTCACACAGAGGTTACAGATCTGAAGAAGGTGGCTTCAGCCAAACTGTGAAAGACCCTTGACAATTTCCTACTGCATAGATACATACTAGAGACAACATCAAGCATTGATGTCAACAGTTTGTTTCACTTTCTACCGACATCCACAGAGCTAATGCAATGAGGAGGGGAGTGAAAGCAGCAAGGCCATGCCAGCATTTACACCAACACTTACAAAAAGTTAGTCATAGTCATAGTTTAAATCACAGTCATATTCTAAGAATATACATACATTATATATATATGTATATATATATTATACTGTATATCTACATAGTTGACCGGTTGCTTCAGCCCCTTGTCGACATATGCTAGAAGCATATATGAGCTATTGCCGCAACATATTCGCACGGCATAAAAGAGCGTTTCTGAAACCTTTTCTATCTGGGGTCTATGCCGGTGTAATTTGTATAATATAGACTTTCAACTTCCTGAGCCAAACACATCTTCAGTAGCGAGATACATGGATGCCATTCGATCACACTATTCCTTGTGGAGTCCACTATCTCTGCCCGTCAAACATCAGAGACCAGCAGTCATTCTGTGCCAGAACAAAGATGGAAAGTGGGTCGTCACCACCAAAGTGAACGGTGCTGGTTCAGGCGCTGTGGAGCTTTCAAGCGAGTGTTCAAATATCCTACTTTACCATAGTGCTGTGGCATGTAAACTATTGCCATCAAAGCCACTTCCTGTTTTGAAAGTTGATTTCTTCTGCTTCACAGTATTTGGAATACTGAAAGTACGTATGTAAGAACATGGCGAACGCTGTTGCATGGTTTTTGGGTGGGAGGTTACTGCATCCCTTGTAAATTGGTGACCAGCTGATCCTTGCCCTTTGTGCCATTTTGGCTCAAGCCACCAGTGTGTGGTAAATGAGGGTTGACTTGCGGTCCCAACTTTACTTGTCCAGTGTTTACTCCCCCTCGTGTGTGTCGGTCTGTGTACCTACGACTTCAATTTCCACCGCCTTTCAAAAGAGCGTATGTGCTCCTGTCCTTGTGTAGGGTGGTTAGGGGTGTTGGGAGGGGAAAGTACATGCAACGTAGTGACCTTGTTGGGGGCTGATTTGGGGCATGTCGCAGGAGGTTGGTAACTGTCTTTTTTTGGGGATTTTGAACATCACTTTCCAGTATCTGCTGGAGATTATATCCCCAATAGTTGGGTCATGTTCAAGTAGGACATTTACCACCCACTGTGTCGACATGTGCACACATGTTTGTGAGCTCGCACATCTGAGGTTTGCATGATAGCTTAAATAGTTTTGCATAGTAGCTCCTTTGTTGGTGAGAAGATATGACAGCATTGAGTTCGATATTTTTTGTTATATTGCAAGCCGTCATGCAAGATCTGCAAGTACTGTACCCTGCCTGCAACTTGAAGTGATGTTTTCTAAAAGCCTCTGGAGGGCTTCACCTGTCTCGAATTTCTTTGCAGGAAGGAACATGTTTGAAAGTGAACAGCTTGCGGGCTTCTCAATACTTGTATGAAAGCATTAATAAAGAGGTGTGTTGAATCTACCAGAAGTATACTTATTGTCAAATGTGCGTACAGTGCAAAGACTCAGGATGTTGGAGAAATAAGTTTCTGGGGAACCTATTTTGCACACATGTTCTTCATTGTCCCAAAAAAACGGCAAGAACTACAGGCAGCATTTTGTGGCATTGATCGGATTCCACAAGCTAATTAGAGTATCACCAAATGCTGATCACAGTTGAACGATTTTGGTGACTTTCAACGCGAGGCTGGGCCTACAACAAGGCCAAGTTCGTTTTCGTCGGTGCGGGAGGCGGCCTGAAAGATCAGCAGACAGCAGCAAGTTGGAAGAAATCACTATACCTCGGCACTTTCTGGACCAGTGTTGGCGCAGTCTTGTTTGAAACCTAATTGTGGAGTGGAGTAGATTTGGTGATACATGTGATACCAGTATCGGAATGTGTGCCGATTTCCAGATATACAAGTTCTTGCAGGGGTTCCTCGGTTGGGTTAAGATCCAGATCGCTGCAGCTGCTTGCATACTGAGCAGTGTGTAGGCAAAAGTAGCCATTTTGCTAAGAATATGGAGGGATTGTTTTGCCAGACTTGGGACACAAGCAGTTTCAGCCCATCAACAGTACCATCATGGTTGTGTATACTTCACGGTGTAGAACTCGGTATTCAACATTAAAATTATAGTGCGATTGCGTCTGTGTCTGTGGATGTACTAGTCCATGGTTTGCACTTCGGTTGTGGATTTGTTAGAAGTTCTGCTTGCTTCATAGGTGATGGCAGACATGAATGAACAGGTTTGGCAGGCGTAGGGTGCATAAAAAGTCACTGCCATGTTTGCCTCCAGCTTTTTACGTCCTTTCAGCCAAACCTATCGAGTGCATCCCACCACTACTTGCATCTTTTCCCGGCACCTGCCAGCCACCTACTGATAATGTGTAAAGACTTGGCTCCTGTCCTTATCTCATCATCGTTGCACTACATTGCACAGACAAGATGCCGTACCTTCTGGCAAGGTGCAGAGCATCTTGAAGCAAATCGGACAGACTTGCCCGAAGTTTCCAATTGATTTTTCCTCAGATACTATGGCCATGGCACGCTTCAGGCTGGGCACTGCTGATGCTCCAGAAGGCTGGAATTCCAGAAGTGAACGGCTTCTCGGCAGACATTTTTTTATCATCACTAGGAGGAAGGTTGGATATTGTAGAAGCTAATATCAGAGGAACACTCAGGATACAAGTGCTTCAAAGAAGACCAAAGAAGACGATTGGGTTTGTCCGATAATTTTTACCTTGTGTTGCATAATCAACAAATAAGAATCGCCGAATAGTCGCACCATGCTTCTATTTTGCTTTGAGCCGAGTCCCAGGCTACATGGCTTTGCCTGTGACGGGCGACTGGGCCATTTGCCAGAACCCAGAGGCGTGATGATCAGTGAGCATTGAGACTTTGGTGTTTTCAAAACTGCTAGGACCTAGGAATCATTTGAGAAATTTTGAGAAAGGTAGGTCCCAGACTGGAAAAGCTAGTTGCACCTTACAGCGGCAGTGTCAACAAATTTCAATGTCATATAAGTCATATGGCAGATTGCACACTTCTCAAACAACGGGATCTGTCGTTGTAGCTTTTTGTAATTAGTACAACTAATACCAGCTCTCTCCCCAGGATCTTGCACCGGCATCATCATTTCACAAATCTGAGCCGTAAGGACCTTGTACATTAATACGACAGACGTCAGATCCACCACTTCCACTATCAGTTTTCCGGGAAGTAGAAAGCCACATTAGGAAGACACCTGAAGGTCGTATTGGGAAAACTGCAGTAGGATTCTCGCGAAACAACCGCTACCTTTTGCAGAAACCTTAACCTTTTGAATCTTTCATCGCAATGCCTGGTACAATTTCACATCAAACCCTCGAGAAACTTATACATGCATGCATGCATGCATGCATTGCACTGCACTGCACTGCAATGCACTGCACTGCATTGCATTGCATTGCAGTACAGTATATTACATTACATTACACTATCCTACATAACATAACATAACATTACATTACATTACATTTACATACACACAGACACACACTTGAAAGACCGCATGTCGTCGTTGGTTTTAGAACTCTTCTGAGTAATGGGAAAATTCCCGGGAAGGCTGTATGCTGCCGTGATCGACGGGTGGTTTTTGGCTTGGCCACCTTGCCATGATAAGAGTAAAAATGACCTAGTTCTTCGAAAAAATGAAAAATGGTGATTCTACACTTCAAAACAGGTACGTGGATCCTGCGTCCAGAATCCATTTCAGTGACTTGTACCAGCCTCTTCGTTGGACTGCCACTGTTACAAGTCAGGCAGTCCCACTGTTTTGAACTTGTGACTGAGAAAAACGCACCAAAACGCAAAAACCGCAAAAAACGAACAGCCCTTAGGAACAGGGTTTGACACACACACCAAGGCCGTACGTCGCCGAGACCATTTTTTGACTTCACCGGAGCCCGATGGCATGGTATACTTCGGACGGAGAAAAACCCTGCTGCACACACAAAATTGCAAGCTGACGTAAACTAGATTCAATTGCTGAAGGCGGAAATGAATATTTTCTAATCAGGTGAGCTCGGCTTTTCAAGCCGCTCAGCCTGAGACGGATAGACCCAGCTGATGCAATATCTCGAATTTGTTGTTGATTAGGACATTGATAAGTCACAGTTCTTTTGGCAACGGAAACTTTGAATCCAAAGAGCATGGAATCACCCACCTTTTCCGGCTCAACTGGGTGTCCATAGAAATTCGGGTTAGAATAAATGGCTATTGGATCTGACTTGGCAATGACAGAATCGAAAACGGCAAAGCGGTTATCAACATATCTAACGAGGCAAAGTTCAATGGTTGCTGACTGAGAAGCGCCTTGAACGAATGTTGCCACGCTCGCTCCACCATGGTGACGGCAAGGTTGGAAACGGTCGGACAAATCTGATTCCCAATACCGGCTCCTCGGTTTGACGCCAAATACTTCCGAGTGCGCTGAAATAATGACTGCTGAGGCTGGCCTTCACAATGATGAAGAGGTCGTCAACTTTGATGGACCTGACATTGATTGTAGGCTGATTTTCTGTAAGTGCCTGCAAACGTTGACTGTATCGGGTCTCCTGTTGCTGACAAGTCTGCTGACATTGAGAGATCTCCTGGGTGACGCTCTTTCCATGCTACCATCAATGCCTGAACTGCATCAAGAGTCTGTCTTGCGGAACAGAGTTGAAAAAACCTACGAGATCATCATTCAAAAATTGCAAATGAGCTTCTTCGGGAATTTCACGAAATGCCGAACGAATTGTGTTTCAAATTTGAGGAACACTCTGTTGCCCTAATTGTTGGGGCCAAACTTCACGGAGCATGGGGTCCAAACAGCGTGACACTGCTTTTAGCAATGTGGACTGATAGCTCTGAAAATAACTAATCAGAGTCCGACCTTCTTGCCAATCTTTTTTCCGTTTCAAAAGGACAAATCCATACGGCAAGGTGGCTTTTTGGCGAAAGCCCCATGAATACGTTCTGACCAGGTGGGAAAAGCCTGTTGAATACGAAGTTGCGCTTCTTGTGGAGAAATGGGTAGTTGTTCAAAAAGTTCCGGATCCTTCCAGGTATTGAGGGCACCTTGAAAATATAGCTGAGGACAAAATAAGGTCAAATGAAATTGTTCATGATCACCATGATGAATCACACAGTCCTTGGGGAGCCAATGTAAAAGGTGTTGAAGAGCATGAAAAGAAAATCTGGGTAAATTGTCAATGGCATCCAAATGAAGCTTCCATTCATAAACGCGGAAGCAAATTGAGGTGGTAATCCATGATGTTTCAGCCAACGAGTCACCGCTTTTGAACATATATTAAAATATTGTGACCGGGAAAGGAAATACGTAGAGTTGGCGTTGGCGTTGGCAAAAATGTGTAGTTTTGATGGCAAGTTGACGTCGTCCAAGTTGATGGCGGCATGTCCTGTTTTGTGTATGTGCTGCTTTGCAATGGATCGTAGTACTTTACAGCAGCAAGGGTGATTTTGTATGTGAGACTCTCCAGTTTTCGATGGTTGTGTAGAATTTCGCTCAACTTGGGGAAACCTTGTTCTCTGAGTCGATGAGTTGGTAAAAGAGAGGAATTGCAACTTTTTTATTGTAGAATGAGCTGCCGAATCCAAGTCTCAAGATTCGTTCGAAAATTGTCATGCGCCAAAAACGGAATGTGCAACGGCAAGCTGTTTTTTGGAACTGTGGCGTTGCGAAACAGCAACGCTTTTCCAATCAAACTCTTGACTCTAGATCTACCGGGTTCTTCCATGTGAGTCGCCAGCCTGTACAAAGAATAGACTTCCAGGGTATGAAATTGTCCTGATCGAATTCGCTTGCCTGCGTCATAGCTCGCTCTTGTGAACAGGCTAATTTGGTACAAAATTCTCCAAGCTTGTTCTTGAAACGAATGAGGTGACGGCACCGGTCCGAGAGAAAACAAGCGTCGTCGAACTCTTTGATACAGTCTCGGACTTAATTTAACAGGACCTTGGCTTTTCTTTCGTACCTGCATCATCCATCCTTCAGATTTGAGTTTGAGAAATTTTAAAACGAAGGGATGATTCACAGCAGGTTGCCAAGAACTAATTAACAAATGTTCACGGACCCAGGCATTGTCGTACGGTGTGCATGCTTGCAAAACAATACACGTGTACGATTCAAACTCTGTCTTGGTGCTCCAGTATATAACGGATTGACAGTTCTGCATGAACTGCGAGGTTGCGCCGAATTTGTTTCAGTTTTGCAAACCTGTTGAACTCACGTTTCACTGCTGAAATGGCAGTGGAACCGATATAAAAATGTCCGGACTGCGTGTACCACCTCCGCTTCTGGTCAGGTGGGTGAAACGGCATCTTGACATAGACCAAATGTGAGGATTGAAAAAACGGGTAAGTGTACATATGTGGAGAGATGCTTGAATTCTTTCAACGGTTGCGCCATTGACGAGTAGTCAATGTGGGAGCTGAGTAACGTGTCAACAAAAGAACATGCCAAATGCTCAAGCTCCACATGGCTGGTCCTTTCGAAATGAAAGGAAAATAATGCACAAAATGAGTCAACGCTGAGCGCAGAATGTCAATCACAGAAAACAAAACTTCGACATTCATGCTTTCATGATCATGAACTTCACAAACTAGTCAAGCAGTCAAACTAGCACCAATGGCAACAAATTGGTGCAAAGTGGATGGTGTCATTTTCAATGACATGTCCATGGGAAGAGCTGCCTGCTGAAGATCTGTTTTTGTGACACCAGAATCATTCAAAATCTGTATGATCTTCATCGCAGGTTGCTGGGTCTCCGTCGGAAATGTTTGAAACCATTTTTTGATAGTACCAGTAGCCGCCGAAAAGCCTCCAGGTTGGTACTGTTTGAGCACAAGAGAAGAAGCATGCAAAATTTTCGAAACGGCAAGCAACGAAACATCATCATCACCGTCAGAAATACACTCTGGAGTTTGGTGGGCGCCTTCTGCAGCCTCTGGCACCGAAGGTGCTGATGCCTCTTGAGGCGGAAACATCTTGGACAGCTTCTGTTGAGTCGTCTCCTCCGTTTTTCTTGCCTTTCGTTTAGGCGTGCTACCCAAATGCGCGGAACTAGGGCTACGCTTAGGTGGTTGTTTCGGAGAAATTGTATGGCTTTGAGGTTGGTCAGAAAGACCTGCGGCTGCCAACTGATCTTGCGCTGCTTTGAGCTGCGCTTCCAAAGCCTGTACACGTCGAAGCGCTTGACCTTCGGTCTTCTGTGGCTGCAAAGCTTTCAGCTTTGTGACCACTTCATGAATTAACGGAGCAATAGACTCAACTGGTTGGTCATTTTTTGATGGAATCGACGTTGTTGATGAGTTGGTCTGATGCAAGTGATCTGCGATGATGTCAATGTCTACTGCATTCTCCCTCATGCTTTTCAACAGCTGAGCAGTAGACACGGATTCTGCCACCGATCGGGTGCACACCAAGCCCAAAAACCTGCCTGCACTCAAAGGGCGAAGACTGAATTCTTGAAGTCCATAACGACAAAGCTGGTGTACCGGAAGTTCGAGAGGATCAAGACCATGAATACCCTTTTTGCGGCTCCAAGCAGTAGGTTGAATAGTTGGAGTTTCGAAACAATGGATACCCATGAGCCAGATTGGAGTCATGATGGGCTTCACCCTGTTTCCATGACGACGGAAGAGGAGGTCCATACGACGACCATTGCGACCATGATGAATTTTGATAATCCTTCCACGATGACCAGTTGTGGGTCATGCTGATAGGTCCGAGCTAAGAGAAACCTATGAGCAAAAACTCTATGAAAGAAGATGGAGTCAGACGAGAAGAAGTACAAGAT